CCAAATTGAAATAACGTTCATAACCTTTTACATGTTGTGTTTGTGTGTTGTAAGTTGGCTGTAGAGGTGGAATGACTGGTTCAGACCATGATGCAACTTCAGGGACAAAGGCTAATGTTGTCTTAATTGACTTCATCGAGCATCCTCCATTTCCTTTTCGTGTCTTTGGCTTAATACAGATCTGTCTATTCCTGTCATGGGCACTTAATAGCTCTGAAGGTTCTGTGGACTGCTACATTAAGAAACTGTTGCTTTGGTGGTTTTTTTGTTAATGCAACCCAAACTGTGCTTTGCTTTCATTGTTTGACTCCTTCCTGAAGTTGGGTTGGGTTGTAAGGTTATTACTTCCCTTGTTGCCCAGAGTTTGCTCTGGTGGGAATTCTGGCCTCTTTGAACCATTGCAATTCTGAGAAAGGAGATTTGTCTGAAGGATTGTGGAAGCTTCAGGAACAGAAGAAGAAGAAACTAAATAGTTCTACATTAACCTGAGGACACTTTGTGGTTTTTGAAAAATTAAAAGTCGGGGGCAGAGGGTTGGGGAAAGAAAAAGTAAGAAGTTGCTTCCCCAGCTTTGTATTGTCTGCTAGGGAAGCCTGGGAGAAGAACTAAAGGAGCATAACTAAAACTGCCACTGGTATGGCTGTGTATTTCACTGTCCTCTTACGGACAAGCTTGCAAGGATTCACTCCAGAAAAGAACTGTCCTGTACTTGACTATATTTCAATTGGATGCGTTCAGAATGAGGAATACTCTGACTCTCTGTCCTTTCTGCACATGGTGCTGTGCCCCTGCTGGAGATTCAGTGTGGCTAGGGAATCCCTGCAGATGACTAGCAAGTCTTGTGGGACTTTTACATGAGTTGAGCAAACTTGGATGTAAATCTTGCCTGGAGCAGATAAAGACTTGAAGAGTGTGCTCAGCCTTCGGAGTGGAAAGACCAGATACTGCTGACAGCGTATTAGTACGTGCTCCTGGCGTGGGGACTGGTGTCTGCAGACTCTGTGCCCTTTTGGGTTTGGAAAGAGCCTAATTTATGTAAATTAAGAAACTCTGAGTTTTACAGTCATTAATAGTCATGTGCAGACCTTAAAAAATTTTAAAAAATCATCAATCTGCTTTGTCCCAGTACGGAATGACATTGAAGTATTAGTGGTATTAGACAAGCAACCCAGGGATGTGGAAAGGCATCAAGGACTATTTCTCAAATCAGATTAGTAAACTCTCTGAAGTTGTTTGCCGTGTATCACTGCCTATTGAAATGGGCAGAGAACGTAGTGGAGCTTACAAAACCTCTATTTTGTGGGGATACGGAGTAGGAAAACGCTCTTGAATAGTAGTACTTTTGAATAGTACGTCCTGTGGTGTTGTCTATTTATTGTTGTTGAGCAGTTCTTAAGAAGGAAAAAAAATATAATTGCATTCTCAGGCAAAAGTATCAAAATTGGAGATTTAGTGAGTAAGATCTGATCCACAGGAGTAAGGCTCCTTAGTAGTGTTACTATATAGTAGTTTCTCAAGCCAAAAATGTAGCTCTGAAACCTGATTTAAATGGTACTCTTCATGTCAAAGTGTGTGGTTAGGTAGGGAATTGCACGGTTAATGTTTGTGAGCTCAAATTTGAAGCTCCAGAGTTCACACAATTTGGGAAGAGAAAACTATAATGTTGCGTAAAGGGCTCCTCTGCAAGTAATTGCTATTTACTGTCTTCACTCCAGTTCAGCAGAGTTCTTTCTCTGGGACTAAAAAGCTATACTCAAGGATCAAATTTAAGTAGCTTCTGGATTTAGTAATGCTGACATCCCCCTTTTTATTAAAAAAATATTTGCATAACTCATAATTTCTAGTGCATTCTTCAATTTTCCTATTACCTTCATTCAATACTAAATTACACAGAAATATTAGTGGGCAAATAGGATAGGAAAGAATATAGCCCCTTGCCTCAGTGCAGCTAATAGTCTTTTACCTTACCCCTTTCAGTTTTACTTGAATGCCTGTTATTCAAAATACCACCAATAGCAAGGATGTGTTTCAAATGAAGCAAATTTTCAGTGCTGAAGTGTTTTTTTCCGAATAGCTGTTAAGTTTGCTTAGCAAGCATTTCTTTTAAGAGTAGATGAGAGCAGTTTTGTGAAAGGTGGCGTTACATAATGACTTTACAAAATACTTGATTTGTAGGTTTTGACATAGACACACCAGATGACTTTGGCAGGACTTGTCTTCATGCAGCTGCAGCTGGAGGGTATGTAAAAAAGCATTCATGCTTTCGTATTTGCTGTTCTTTTCTCAATTGCTCATCATTCCTGTTCTTTTTTTATTGTTTCCTCTCTCTGCTTTTCCTGCCCTCTCCCCTTGGAATTTATGTAAACGTGAAAATAATTTCAAGATGGATTCTATCTACAACCAATAAAAATAAATTAAATATTCAGTCTAATAAGTAATTATTGGAGTGCAGTGTCCAAGTATCATCAGCCTTGCTTTAGGTATATGCTTGGGGATAACTGAATTTTATTTTAAATTCCTGTGGAGGATGATATAAATTTTAGAATTTACAGCATTCAAAGATGGCATGCCCAGCTAAGATCACTGTAGGACATGAGGTGGAAAACAGCAACTTTGGGAAATATGTTTTTACCATATCCATAAACAAAAGATCAATCTAACTAAATTAATTAATATAAGCCATAATTGAATTCCAGAGTTTAGGTGGATGAAGTAGTCAGAACTACTTGCTCCTCACTTGAGTTGTGATCCATATTGATTATTGTTATTGTATTGTAGGTTTTCTATAGCAGCTACTCAAAATTGCCTGGAAGAATTGGGTAATAAATTTCATGATACACTTTGTGGGACACAAGAACTCCATGATATTGATATTTTCATTTTTCTGTTTCAATGTTGTTTAAGTAATACTGTTAAGTGATCATTCTAAGTCAAAAGATACTTGATAGATGCATTCTTGTTGCAAATGATTATGCTTAAAATGCTATCTTTTCATATAAAACCACATGATTTGTGACACATTCCCTCATTCATCTCCAGTTTAGGAAAGTTACTAAGATAGTGTTTAAACTATAAGGAGTATTGTACATCTATTACAATGATTGTATTGTTTTGAAAATTAATTACACTAAAAAGTAAAATATTTATGTTTCAACTCATATTTGGCCTTAAAACAATTACATTAAAACTTGCTTCTGTGCTGGAATTCTGGTAGCAAAAAGCATGTGACATGCAGGTGTTACTGTTTGTTTGCTTTAAAGAATTGAAGTTTCTATTAAACTAGGTTAACATTTATGTGCTTTTATGCATGCCATTTGATGTCAATGAAATTTCTATATATGGTCTTGAAATAATTGTTATTCTTCCCTGGTTTTGGTCCTGCAATTATGAAACCTATTTTACATATAAAAATATATTTATCAAAATTTTCATATGATAGTTCAGCTCAATTAAAAACAACGTATGAGATGTGTAGCAGTTACATTTGCAGAGGCCAATATTAAGGAAATAAAATTTGTAATCACAAGTAATATTGCTTTGATTTAATAGGAATTTGGAGTGCCTAAATCTTCTGCTAAATACTGGTGCAGACTTCAACAAAAAGGACAGATTTGGGAGGTAAGACATTCTAGATTTGTATATTGTAAAGGACTTAAAATATTGCAGAAGTAGCATATTGCTGTGTGGGCAAATCTGTGTGTTCCAGTTTAAATGTTTTTTAAGATACAATGTCTCTAATAAAGTATGCTTCAGCATATGCTATCAAAAGTTACAAACATATTTTGTTTATTGTGTTTGTTAAGTAGGTGTTGAGTCTTGTGTTTAAAGACTGAGTTCTATATTCAACTGTAATTTTTATGAGCCTCTTCTGCTTATAACATGGATCTAATGAGTATAAATTGCTCTCATCCAAGGACATTAGTGATTTTTTCCAAATAATGTATTAGGCAAACCTATCAATCTGTTGCTATTTTTAAGCTTTTTTTATTTAAAAAAAATATCTGTTACTATAATTGCTTCACTTTTTCCTTTCATTATGTCCATCTCTTTCTGTTTCCTTGTTTGTGCTCTGAACTATTTTGGAATGACATTAATTTCTATTTTTAGTATAGGATTGTTTAAGTTTAGATGGCACGATCAGTACTTGCGTAAAATCTCACATCTCATAATGGAAAACATGATTTTCCAGGATGTGAACAGCAGGAGTAGGGCTTGAGGAGAATGGTATGGATCCAAAGTTGCATCTTGCTTTAAATTCCACTTCCATTCTTTCCTGAGAAAGGAAGAACTAATTGTCACAACTTTTATTATTGAAAGTTGTTTTTTTGTTGTTTTATTTTGTTTTTTGCTTTTAATGTGCATGTTATATAAAGCAATTGTTTCAGGAGAGGTAAAAGATTAAAATAGTTAAAGATGGAGAGAAATGGGGAAAAAGTAATTTTAAGGGAGAGGGAAGAAGTAGAAGACTTTGAAGTGCTTGACTGTCTCCTCAAAATTGAGATATTTATACTACCAGTCTCTTTTTAAAAATAGAAAATGGAATTCTGAGTCATCTTGGTGGTTTTGAAATTTTATCCAAACTGGTTTATTTAGAGAATTGTTTATGTATTTGAAGCTGGAATAAGATTCCCCTGAACTTATACATTACTATTAATATTTCACAGTTTTGTTATAAGAAGACAACGGAAAATTTTTTAGAACTTTTCTTTTAACAGTACTTCTGCTGTGTTAATATATAATGCTTGCCTGTCTCGGACAAAATTCTTACCTGTTTGTTGAAAACATCAACTTGTTAATTGTATTTTATTTTGACCTTGTTCAGTTGCTGTGCAGTTCTTAGATTTGTCCATGTTTTTCCATATAGCTTGAAATTACTTAACTAAAAATAATATTTCTAAGGTGATCTTGATTTTCATCTACACGTTTTCATGAGAAAATTAATATAAAGCTTTCCTTAATGCAAATTGGGCATATTTTGGCTGGCAAATAGATCCCCTAGATATTGTTCTGCATTATTAAATGGCCCCATTTTTAAATACTGTAATGATGCATTCCTCACCACAAATACTTGTTAAAAAAAAATGTAAGGAGGATTTAAATTTCATTTTATTTTGCTTTTTTCTGTCTCTATAATATTATTTTGCTGTTATTTACCATTGTACTTTTCATTTAAATGTGTACTAAAGAACTCCACTCCATTATGCTGCTGCCAATTGTAATTATCAGTGCCTGTTTGCCCTTGTGGGATCTGGAGCTAGTGTGAATGACCTCGATGAGAGGGGTTGCACACCCCTGCACTATGCAGCTGCATCAGACACAGACGGAAAGTAAGTGCCGTGCTTTGTACTAAAGCCTTTCTCCTTAGGAACGTTTGAGCTGTGAATTTTCATGTCTATATTCCGCCTTCAGATTTGCCAAATGCATTTATTTTTAATATTCTTAAAGATTCAACTTGACAGTAGGTTGTTCATTGTATAGAAAATGCTTTATGTAACGAATACTCCTGAGAAAAATGAGCAATAGTAAAATGTATTGTAATTTTTTCATTATGTCCTAAAATGCAGATATCCTAATCTGGGAATTCATTGGGAATAGAGTCTTTAATCCCACTTGCTGTGTACTGGTTGCATAAATATTGTTTGTGGGTGTTACTATGACAGTTGTGAGGGGTAGGGTCATTTTGCTTTAAAAATCAAATTCTGATGAAGGATGGTATGTTTCATGGAGGGTTCCTAATGTTGCCCAAAAATCTGTGTAGTTAGTCAGAAGTACACGGTAAAACTAGAGTGGGAGTTGCATACAGCAGGCCTACATCAGGGTAGAAATTAACTTGACATTTCAATCCAAGATGCTTTATCCACTTGGTGTTTGATTAAACTGTTCCTGTTCAGCATTACAACTCTTTATCTCATTAGTGTAATTTTTTGTGAAGTAGTGACACTTTTATTAATGAAACACACCCAGAGACTTTCATGCACCCATCAATGTCTCTTGCATGTGTTTATTTGGTAACCAATGGCGATATTTTACAGAGTTATTAATGACTTAAATGCAAAGCTTATATAGATATCACAAAATTGATGAGGTTCCTTAAGTTCCAGACATTGTATATACTGAAGAGACTTGAGACGAGTCCCACCTGGGTGTGGGGGGGACACACACTTCCAGATGCAGGTGGAAACGAGCTGGGGTGCAGGGTCACCTTTCAGATGCCACCAGTGCCCCTTTCACTGGAAGAGTCCTGCTTAGTGCCACATCACCTTGTTTAATACAGCACCTTTCACAAGGTGAAGTAGCAACAGGAAGGAATTGGCATAGAACTTAAGGGTTGGCTTTTGAAGGATAAATAAAGAATACTTTCGTGGCCATTTAACTAATATTTAAAGTACATGCCTTTCTTACGTACAGCCAAATTGCAAAATTAAATTGTCTGCTGCTTTTCAGATATGCTTTCAGCTCCTGCTGGGGTTGACTGAGGGAATGTTACTTTAATTGCCCTCTTACAAGTTGAGCTGGGGTTAATTTTAGCTTCATGGCTGCTCTGAAAACCTCTAAACTATAATGGTTCTTCAGATGACATCGTTTTGCCATCTGTCTTATAAAAGGCACGAGCAAGAATGATGATGGTAACACTGCAGAGCTTTGGGAGGTAACTCAAAGAATCAGCTCTGGACCCCACACGATATTTCCCCTCTGATTAGCAGTTGGCTCTCGGGAAGACAGGCTGCAGAGCAGAATGGCCCGAGGAGAAGCTTTTTATATTGATGCAGCAAGATGATTAGTAACAGCTGGAAACCCTGTACTGCTCAGCTCATATTCAAAATAGGAATGAAGCTAAAAATGATTACTGGGTTGGAATATGAAGCCTGGGAAAGAAATGTCAGGAAATTATCTACATAGAAACTCCAAAGATATTTATATGCATTTTTATTGTCTTTGTTCAGACATCTTTAAAGACAGATTTTTAGGGACAAGGATGTTTTTGTTGAAAATTATTTTCCGGTTTGTTCCTGTTTGGAAGCAATTCTTTTGTATCTTTAACAAATGCTTCTGACCTGGAACACACACCAGTAAAGCCTCATCTTGACAAGACTAGAGAGAGACATGATCACAGAGTGAGATAAACTAAGCAGCATCTTAGGGGATAAAAAACCCACACTCTTTCTATGTTAGAATTATTTAATAGACAGTACACCAATAAATAACTCAGAAATAAATTTAATTTATCTGGCCTTTCAGAAAGTCTGAATAATCTCCTTTTAAAGAGGCCTGCTGAGGACAGTTTAGTATGCAAAAGATACAAAGTTAATCTCTTTCCTGGGTGAGAAGAAACAGCAAAAATAATAATCTTATTTGCATTGGAAAGAATGGGTACTCAGGGATTTTTAGCAGACTTTCCTTCCTCCAGTATATTTAGTGTATTGTGGTTTTTTGTGAGCACACAAATATAGAAAGTACACAAGTATAGAAATTAAGATAGCCAAGGCCAGTGATGTTTAACATTTATTAATGAGCCATGAATGTTAATACAAAATCATTCATTAAAATTAACAAAGAAAGTTAGGCGATTGGACAAATAAAATGTAAGGACACTAATTCTTGTTCAAGAGGACAAATTGACTTGTCTTTTGACTTGTTTCAGAAATCTCATCCCCTTTCAATTCAGATAAAAACATACAAGCATGGTTGCCATTACTGAAATCCAGGCATTTGTTTACTGGGCAAATAAAACCTGCATTAGTTGGGTAAAAAAACCATAGATATTCTTTACAGGTAGCTTTTATTAGGTATGTTGGACTTGTAAAGTTACTTACATCTTGTGTTTCATATATTATTCTTTAAAAGTAGAAAAATTTTACCTTTTTCACTTCCCACCTAAGTCCTTTTCTCCTTCATGCTGGGCACGAAATGATGAAAGTGAGCATGTTCCTTGGTATTGCTCCTCCTCTTCTCCACTTTGCGATGAGACAGAGTACTTTGTCATTAGACATTTCCTTGTTCATAGTTTTTCCTGCAGCTTTTTGACCCTTTCGTCTTCACTCACCTGGTTTGTTACTTTCAAGGCAGATGTCAGGCCTTCACTGGAGCACGTGGCTGTTGTTGCACAGGAGGTTTTGGGGCCCTGACCCAGTAGAGCTGTCTTACTCCTGCTGAAACATTTCCGTTTCATCACAGCTGGTACTGGGTCATCATTCAGATGATGAACTCGCTCTGTTCCATCTGCTGGCTCTGGGCCCTTTCTTGAAGGAACTCAGGAAGAGTTCTGATGTTGCAGGATCACGCTGCCTTCCCTCACGCAGCTTTTGTAGGATTCCTGCCTGTATTTTTCTCCCAAGGTTTGAATATTCTCCAGGGTTTTGAATGATCAAGTTTCTACTCTTAATGGCATTGATCAGGGTCATGTTAGGGTTCCTGCCTCTCCAATCTAAACTCACTATACCCTACAGCAAGTTTTTCCACAGCATAGTCATATCATACAACTGCAAACGTTAACATGAACTTTCTACCAAACAATTTTCTATGAGACAAATGGGAACTAAAACCCTCATATTATCAGTGTATCCAACTGGCCCATTTGTCACTACTGGTAATCTGTGAGGCCTTCAGATAAACTCTTCTAAGGAAGAAAGGTTCCAAGCTGGATTTAACAAGACAATATACTTTTTTAGCTTCACGTGCATTTTATTTAACTGATAAAGAAGAAATATTTTTTAATCCCAGAGAGAGGAAGGGATGGTGACCTGCTGCACACTTCAGAAAAACTAAATGGCGTCACCAGCAAGTGGAAGGTCTTGCTACTGACTTTGCAAAATGTTGCGGAAATGATAGACAATAGAAAATTATGAATAAGTGGGATTACTGGTAGGAATGGTTTAGCGTGCATGCATGGAGTCTCTCAAAAGCAGAAACATAGGCAGAGGAAGCTGACCTTAATACCTTGGTTTTCATCTTCTTGGCTGAGTTTCTGTGGTTGAAACTGCGCTGATTGTGTTCTGCCTTACAGCTTTGCGTAATGAAAGTTCGGAATGGTGGGGTATATGCCAACAACTAAGTGTGTTTACTGTATAAATGAATCAATAAATTAGTGTCTGGTAGGGGAAGTGTATGTGTGTGTGACTCTTGGATACGTACCATGAAGAACTTGGCTGTTGGTTCTCTTCCTTCTAAGTACAGAAGAATATGCTGATACAGAAAAACATATGAAAATAGTTACCTTTGTTAATACAAATGATTAGTGTAGTTGTATGAACTAGGAGGAAATTACCATGAAATACTAGTTTTAACCAAGTCAGATAATTCAGAGGATGAGGAATATCTGCAGAGAAGGACTTTTTTGAATTTTGGAAGGTTTGTGATTGACCTAACACTCGGTGTAATGAGTTAGGTGTTCTCTAGTCCTAGCAAATATTGTACATTAAGTCAGTGTTGCTGTGTGCTGTACTCTATTTTCCAATTGAGTTGGAACAATTTATCACTTAGCGTAAAGTTGCAATTCAACATTCAGATCCATGGCTGCGTATGTCAATTTAAATAGGTGCCTGGAATACTTGCTAAGAAACGATGCCAATCCGGGGATCCGGGACAAACAAGGATACAACGCCGTGCATTATTCAGCTGCTTATGGCCATCGCTTGTGTCTTGAACTGGTAAGAAAACTCATCACAGGTAAAAGCTGTAAGAGCTGCTCTTGCAGAGTGTGATGCAGAGGCCAGAGGATTCCTCTGCCCTGGTTCTTCCTCTATGAGCTACATCAATACTGGTTTCAGCCCCTGTGAGGATAAATATTTAAGCACTTGGTTACTCTTAAAATAAAGGCAAGGTGAGGAGCCAAGATGCTACTTAATGGTTTAAAAAGATAATATATTCTAAGATATGAGTTTTGTTTTCTTTCTCGACTTGGAATACACTGCTAAATTTTTTCCTGACAGCTGAAATAAAATAACCACAGGTTATCCCACTGTTAAGAAAATTCATAAATGTAATATGGAGGAAATTAAAATGTAGGGAAAACCTGTAACATAAGGGTAGCTTTTAAAACAGTTTACAATAGTTCACGTAGTTACAGTAACTAACAACCACATAACAGAGCTGTAGATAATAAAGCCTCGGGTAGTTTTTTATTAATCCCTTTGCAGAAATATGTATGATATTTGATATGCTAATTTTATCTTCTCTGTGTTATACAACTTAGTATTTTTATACAAATTATACTTTTATATTCAAATGTATTCAAACATGAATTCTGAATGTTTTTAATTGCAGATTGCAAGCGAAACGCCTCTAGATGTTGTAAGTGTATATTATTTCTCACTGTTAAAGTATTACTGCACAGCAAAAGGGAACATGTAATTTTAAAAATACTGCTTACTTTTAGACTTATTCAACCATTTCTTCAACACATAGATGTATTATTTAATTTCAATTGCAATTTAGATTTAATTGCAATTCAGAATTTTTAAATGGAAAATAATTTTTTAAGCCTTTTTTTTTTTACTTAAACATTTGTATGACCATGTTAAAGTGTGATAATGAAAATTTAGTGATCTGAATATATTTGGTGTTCTTCAAATGCTTTGAATGTTTTAATTCTGCTAGTGTACTAAATTAATTCTGGGTCTTTTTCAACACCATAATTAAAACTTTAAAATACATCTGAAAGGAACAAATAGAAATGTATACACATAGATATCTTAATCCTATTCTATAATGCTTATGCCTTTTTTTGGTCCATTTCTTCTCATTGGGAAATGGTTTTCAATTCTGAGAAGTCAGTTCTGTCCTCTGGCTTTTTATATTGTCTTTTTGCTGACTTTTCACCTAATCAAAATGCTTACTTGTTTGGTTTGGTGGTGGGTTTTGTCTTACTACAGCTGTTCTCACCTGTCCTTGTCTTCCCTTTGTATGCATTTCATCTATATTATTTCATATGGCTGCTTCAGGAAAGATAATAATTAGTTTCTGATTTAATTATTTCATTGTCATGCAGAATTAAACAACTGTGCTTGGGAGATGAATGTGGGGGAGGGTTTGCAGTCATTGCAATTCAAACTCTTTGAAGGGTTGAAGGAGATCTAGAATCCCTAAGGAAACTGTAATTCTATATTATTCTTTCTATTTTTCTTCCATTTTTTCTTTTTTTTTTTTCCAAACTGTATACTGAAAATTGTAGCAATTAGTGCTGAATGTAATTGCAGGTGAGGGGGTTTTTGCACTCACTCTGACTTTCTCTCCTCCGCTAAGCTAATGGAAACATCAGGTACTGACATGCTGAATGATTCGGACAACAGAGCACCTATAAGTCCACTGCATTTAGCTGTAAGTATTTAGCTCTGTAGTGATGATAGCTCATCTCATTGCAAACAGTTGTTGACATGGGTTTATTCAGTTTGGATTTTTTTAAAAAGATCAGTAACAATAAATGAAATGTAAAAATATGTACCAATATTTCTGAATGACATATACAGGGTGACTCTTGCATTTCACTTAAAACTTGCATCATGAAGAGCTTTCATTTGGAATCCTCTAATTAAGTTTTATGTTTTAATATATACTAATGAAATTTTTAGAAGAATTCTGTAAGTAACAGTGACTTTTTTTATATCATCATCATCGTTTAGCATGAGAAATGTTTGTCCTTAGCACCTTAAGAAAGATTTGCACAAAGATTAGTGTAGGAGAGGACCTGATGAAACTGTCCATACAAATATACTCAAAAAACAGAGTAACCAGCTCAATATGTAGCCTTTATCTTTTCACGGGACTTCAAGCAATTGAAAAACCACAATGTACTTTTGTAAAATAGCATGTCTCATGCAGTGTGTATATATATATACATATATACATATGGCCAAAGTACAAAGTAATCTTTAATACTGGTAAATGAAAGCAGTTAGAAGAGACTGTTCCTGTAAATGAGTTTTGTCTGGAGGCAGAGGTTACGTATCCATGAGTATACTTTTAGAATTTATTATGGAAATTATAAAATCATAGTTGTAGGTGTTTATTTTCACTGCTAACTTTGACACTTTGTCTTGACACATACCTACAGAGTATTCTCTGTGCTTTTTTTTTTATCCTCCTGTATCCATTCTGATTTATTTTAGAAAACTATTAGGAATTTGTTAAGTTTGTCTATGTTCCTCACTTGAAATCTGAGGGTGATGTAACTATAACATAAAGCAATGAAATATGCAGTATTCAAAATACTGGTAGTTGTACAGACTGGAGACAGACCATTTTCTGAAAGTAGTTTCAGTTACTGATGGAAAGGATAAAATGGAAAAAAATGCACCAACCTTCTTGCTGAAATTGTGGGGTTTGTTTAAATTGGTCATAACTGTTGTAGCTATCTTCACAGTTTCATTTATGTAATCCTGGTAAGAAAGGGAATGTGAAGGACGGGCAAACTGAAGAATTTTCTTACTCTTGTAGGCCTATCACGGCCACCATCAAGCTCTGGAAGTGCTGGTACAGTCACTGCTGGACCTTGATGTGAGGAATAATAACGGAAGGACGCCACTGGATCTAGCTGCCTTCAAGGGACACGTGGAATGTGTAGATGTGCTCATTAATCAGGGAGCATCAATCTTGGTGAAAGATTATGTTGTAAAGAGGACCCCGATCCATGCTGCAGGTGTGTGCTAACCACTAACCTCTAAAATTTGGGCCTTTGAAGTGGGTCATCTTCATGTTTAGAAGTCTCTGTCGTTCATGATCTAAGAAATGCTGTTTAGGAATAGACTTTTAAGGTATATGCTGTGCTGGGAAAGGTGTAACAAAGCAGTTGTGGGTAGAAACCAATAGAACCCAATAATAAATCCTTTTGGCTCAGGGAGCACGGTTGCACAGCCCTCTCTGGAAGGGTGCCTTGTCCTTGGCCATTCAGCGAGGCTGCCTGCGCCGACAGCCCTCAGTGATGTCTTCCTCTTTCTCTCCTCGTCTTTCACGCAGCCCAAACTGTAGACCCAAATTTAGATACATGAATCTTAATCGCCTGTCTTGGCAGTAAAATACTTCTAAAAATGACTGGAGTCTTGGAGAATTTTGTCAGTTTGAGAAGAGAGATAAAAACTATCCTTTAGGTTTTTTCCAAGGATTTAAATGACACCTGAGTGTTTTCAAAGTAACAGCAATCCTTTGCAATATTTTCTTGCTGCATTTCCTAAAAACTTAAATAAACCTGCCTTTCTCAAAGTCTAGCATTCATACTGTAGTCTTATTTTTTTCTCTCTTTGCAAATTGTTTTATTTAAATTGACAGGTATAGTTATGGTGTTACAGAAATGCTGCAGTAAAAAGAGCATTATGTACAAAACTTCGTTATTCTAACTACTTCATTTGTTGTCCATGAGCAAATGCTGTATTCTTCTATTTGATTTAGCTTCTCCTAACTTCTGTTAGCATTTCTTTCAGCTAGAGAAGCATGAATTGTCACTGTTCTCATGTTGGTTGGTTATTACTTCTATGTATTATTTCCTTCCCTCTTTCTGAATGTGATTTCAGTTATTTCACGACACTGCACATGCTACACTTGCTAACCAAATCTGTGTGTCATTGGCTAGGTGTGTCTCTACCTGTGCCTTAACCAAGCAAAAGTTATGCTTATTACTATATTTAGTTATTCTTTCTTGTGGATGTCATATAAGGATATATTCTAATCATTTTTAATCTGTGCAACCTCATTTATATATAAAAAAATAAATCCCTGTTGGCAGTTGGAATCAATTATTTGTAATACTATGTAGTTGAGAGTGCCTGATTTCTGAAATAAATTACTAGTGTTTATATTTTTTGTTTTTCATTCAAGTTATAACAATGGTAAAGCTGTACAGTGGGTTCCAAAGCTAAGGGGCTTTAGTCTGAGCAGATTACTGTTCTGTTTGAGCTGCATACTCAAGGGCAATTAATATAAAACTCATATTTTTATATGATGTTTTACAGCTACGAATGGTCACTCAGAATGTTTGCGGCTATTGATAGGAAATGCAGAACCACAGAATGCAGTGGACATTCAGGATGGAAATGGACAGTGAGTTTAAACGATACATTTTCTGTTTTTCATGCGTTATTGCATTTTATAAAAGGAAAACCTACATATTTTACATGGATGATTTTTAATTCAAAGAGAGATGATATTTGAACTAGGACAAATGTAACCATATATTTTGCAATAACCATAATGTTGGCAGTGAAAAAATGTTCCTGTTCCGTTGGGAGGAAACTAAAATGTGTCTACTTGCCCAGATGCTGAAAAAATGGATTCTAGTAACTTAATTGGGACTTCTGAATTAGGGGATATTGATTTATTTTCTTGAGTCTAAAAAGCAAATGTTAGTGACATTCTGGGAGTCAAGGTAGTGTTAGAGAAGGTCATTGATGTCAATTTTGAAAGAGAGTAGCTGTTGCATTTCAGCTGAGTGCTGGTCTGTTAAGTTTCCGTGTAGATTACACTGTGTTTCACTCTCTCCTTAGGACTCCTTTGATGCTGTCAGTTCTCAATGGGCACACCGACTGCGTTTATTCACTCCTTAACAAAGGAGCAAATGTAGATGCCAAAGATAAGTGGGGAAGGACGGCATTGCACAGAGGGGTAAGAGAATATTCCTTTCCAGTTTCAAGTTTTATACATATTAATTTCAAATACTGATTTAATATGTAGTGTTAATTAATTTCTTATTATTCTTATCTTGCCATTCTTAGTTTTTAATTGTATTTTTAGTTGCTTTCAAAAGGCTAGCTTTTGCCTGTTTCCTATGTACCCTCAGAATTCTTTTGGGCTTCCAGAGTCTCTTAATCTTGCTGTGTAGTGTTGACTGGAGAGGTCCCAGAGTACAGCTTTTTGTTATGTGCTGGGGGTGGTGTTAATGGGAGGAAGAAAAGCGTGATGCATGCCATATGCCAAATATTTTTTTTCATAGTCTCTGCCAGATAAGACAATTGAACGATCCCTAGAGATCAGCAGTTCATTCAGTGTTATTCCAAGAAATTATTCTGTCATCAATATTATAATACATTGCTACAGAGTAGCTATTTCCAGGAATAAAAATAATGTGTGTTTATTTGGTTATTACTTAAAAATGTAAGAAATTGCTTGAAGTTTCCTTGCTTTAGTTATGCACCTTGGCTTATATGAATATTTGCAAACTTACTATTTCCTGTTTTTCTCTCCCAGGCAGTGACGGGGCATGAGGAATGTGTGGAAGCGTTGCTTCAACATGGTGCTAAGTCCTTACTGAGAGACTGTAGGGGACGAACCCCTATACACTTGTCAGCTGCATGTGGACATATAGGTGTTCTTGGGGCTCTCCTGCAGTCAGCTACGTCTGTGGATGCAGTACCCGCCATAGCAGACAATCACGGCTACACCTCACTGCATTGGGCCTGCTATAATGGTAAAACACATTAAAGTTAACATACGGGTCTGGATGTATTTGTTGATACTGAGATTCACGTTACTACTTATAAAGGCAACATATAAGGCCTGTCTGCTTTCAATTCATGTTAGTCAGTATGTCATTACACCCGATATTTTGAGGGGGAATGCATTAACATCTATACATAATATGAAGTGTTTACTTTTGTACTACACTTCTGTTAAAGTGTCTTCTTAATTTTATGCCTCGAGGAGCCTTTCAAGAAATTCGGCGTAGTACCTGTGAATAGAAATGTGCCACACATCCCAAAAAAATAATGTGGGAGGAATGGTTTCAGATCAAATCTTTTTTTAAGACTTGCTTCAAATCAACCTTGATAGGCATAAGAAGCTAAAGTATATAAAAGTGATTCAATAAGAATTTATTTTTTCTTTGCTGATACTTTTCTTGGATTTGGGGGTAAGGGAGGCCTTAAAAGGTAGGAAAATTATTCAGCTCCTTTGCTCAAGATTTTGATCCCTGAGGTCATTTCCGACATAGTAGAGGTTCTCATTTTCACCTCTGAGTCACATGATAAAGGTCAAGAGGTAAGGGGTTAGAGCTTCATTTTACCAGTTATTTTAAGTAAATAGCTAACTAGACTCTTCACAGCTGAAGCAACCCAGTAATACACCGATAATTTGAACTAGAATAACATCTCTTTATCACATTGATAAAAGCAAACTCTTCCAGCTTGGTCCGTTTTCAGAGTGACCACAGAGTCTGAATCAACCAGAACTGAAATATGCTTGATTTGTAGAATGAAAATTTTTCAGGACTTGTGGAAATACAAATCTTCAGAGATTGGTAAATGTTGAACTAAGGTTCTCTGCGTGTATGCATCGAAGATCAAACAGGTAGTTACAATGGTTAGCTACCTGTACAGCAGCAGGCTACAGAGTTCTGAGAATAATAATATGATAAGTTGAAGGTGTTCTTTTTAAGCTTTGTTATGACTATCAACTTGGGTTTTGATTTGGATTTAGCAAGACAGTGGAATAAAAATAACCCTCAAATGATGGAGACATTTTCATGTAGACTAAATGGTGAATGTACAGAAGAGTTTGAAACCTGGGGGTGTAAAGAACTAAATGAAGTGTTCTGGGTGTTCTTCAGACAGCATGAGATCCCTTCTAATTTTCACAAAGTTAACAGTGTTAAAAGTTGGCTTGATTTTCAGGATTCTAAAATTGTCTAAAATTGTTCCTAAATGTACCCCTATTGAATAAAAGCAGTGTGTCTTTGAAACTTTCAAATAAAATATTGCTTAATCCAATTTAGATACATATTTTTGTTGTAATCCATAAATAGACCTTCTCTTCTTTTTTAATTCCCAACTCTTACATTTGCTGTAGGTCATGACAGTTGTGTAGAGCTCCTCCTTGAACAGGAAGTTTTCCAGAAAATGGAAGGAAACTCTTTCAGTCCGTTGCATTGTGCAGTGTAAGGAAGTGCAAAATTATTCTTCATACATTTCATTGCTGTATTTAACAAAAGATTTATCATTCTGTAAATAACAGTCTGTTTAATTCATTATAGGATAAACGACAATGAAGGTGCTGCAGAAATGTTAATTGATACCTTAGGTGCTGGTATTGTAAATTCAACAGATTCAAAAGGAAGGTAAGAGTGGAAATGCACTGTGGAAGAGTGTGTGTAATGTAACAGAATGCTCTGCTAAATTCTATAATCACTTGGGGTTTTTGTATTCGGTCCGTATGTTAATTCCCCCTTCCCCCTGTTTTTATTCTTTGAAGATTTTTTTTTCTTTATTCTGTGCTATAAATAAATATTAGATTTCTGAAGATCTTATTCTCGTTCAGTAAACTTGAATTGGATTTTTATTATATAGGCAAGTTAGAGCACCTTTTAAATTTTATCACTTTGTGGGTGGTATTTTATGCATGTTTTATTTTTTCTGAATCAAACTGTAACCCTGTTATAAACTACATGGAGGGAACTCTTTGAAACTTGAAGGTGACTTTCTAAAGGCAGCAGCTGCACAACTGCAGCTGTGCTGATTTCAAAGGATCAGTGGGAGGAACTGCCCAGGCTTTTGTATTGGCAGGATCACGGTCAGGATGCCCCTTGGATTAAAGTAGAAAGGGTGGCTGAACGTGGCCATGTTGTCTTTTGATGTGTTGCAGAACTCCTCTTCATGCAGCAGCTTTTACAGATCACATTGAGTGTCTACAGCTTCTGCTCAGTCACAACGCTCAAGTGAACGCTGTAGATTCTTCTGGGAAAACACCTTTAATGATGGCTGCAGAGAATGGACAGACGAATACAGTTGGTAAAGAGAAACCTTTATATATTTCTGCTCTTGAGTTTGTTAAGCTCTCTGTGGGTAAAGTTGCCTTACAGTTAATGTTCTTATGGATATATTTTGTCAAACTTATGTTTTCGTTTTGCACAAATGTAAGCCATGAAGACTTAAAAGGAATATGCTTTTAGTTAATACAAATCTTTATTTCCCCAGAGGTGCTGGTTAGCAGTGCTAAAGCTGATCTGACTTTGCAAGACAGTTCTAAGAACACAGCACTCCATTTGGCTTGCAGCAAGGTGTGTGCGTAGTCTGACTTACCAGTGCTGAGCTTTGTGTTACCACGCACTGTTTGCAAACATGAACTTGTTATTTTGAAAAGGTATTGAAAGCAGTTTTTGAAAGGTATTTGTTGTATGACAGATCTTTGTTCTGTATTAAGGGTCATGAAACTAGTGCCTTGTTAATACTGGAGAAGATTACGGATAGAAACCTCATCAATGCCACCAATGCAGCCTTGCAAACGTACGTATCAGCAGTGAGTGTGTTTCACAGATGAAGTTTTGGTGGGTATCTTGCTCATAAAGGGGAATATTTTTCAGAATATTTTTCCAAATTGGTTGAATTTGAATTGCTTAATAGAAACCGAGAATTGAATCGACTTGAAGCGGTCTTTTGCTCGTTCTGGTTTTGGCTGGGTGAAAGGGATGAGAAATAAATCTCACAATATTGTGATTCAGGGAATCCTGTTTGGAATTGCTGCAATCCACTGAGAGAACCTGTAAGCCGATATTTTTCTGTTTCAGAAATTATCTAATTTTTTAATTAAAATTCACTTAACAACTCATTTGAGGCAAACTTGGTCTTCAAAGCTAGCTAATAAAAAAATCCGGGCTGAAGTATGCTTTTATTCTTCAGCATGATTCCTGTTAGCAAAAGACACCTATTCTTACTAAATGAAATACTGTTTTCTATTAAATGTTATGGAGAGTACAGTGTTCTTAATGCTTCCTGAAGATCTCTCAAGTACAATGAAGCCTGTTTTGTTAGCCCACTCATAAGGAAGACTTAAAAATGAAGTAGTATGTCATACTGGGGAATATGTACCAGGATGGGCTACTAAAATGACTTGTGCATCTTTTTTTTCCTTTTAAAGAATGTATTTGTGTTATAGGCAATTGACACCTGGTGTGTAGCTGAGTTATGTACATGAATTATTAGGCTGCTTCCATAACACTATCACAAGACCATTTAGAAAAAAAATTACATCCCTTCTGGAATCTGCCATGTTCAGGCTCCTACAGTTCTTCCAACTGTTCCAGAGATCTGCTTGAGCTGAGGAGTTACAATAGTAGGAATTCTTCCTCTGCTCTTGCTGCTCACCGTAGTGCATCTCAGGCAGAATGAAATAACTAGAAAGTAGGAAAGGGGTTGATTGCCTCATTTCTGGCTTGAAGTGGGGATGTCTTGAGAGAAGGAAAAGCAAAAAATGAGATGGGAACAGAAGTGGGAAAGGCTGCTACCACAGGCTCATGTAATTCCACCCACATGCCTTGGCTCATGCAGTCTGATAAGTTATGTCATGGGGGAAAATAGGTACATATTCGCACCTCCATGAAATGTTTATATCAGTTGCAAGATCTTAAAAATTTAGCTTAGCAAAATTTGGCTTAGCAAATTTTTTTTAATAACTATGACTTTCTAAACAGCTTAAACAATGTCCTACCTTGTGTCAAGATAAGCATTAAAATTGTTGGCCTCTATATTAAAACTCTTTTAATTACAGTACATTTTTCAGTGTATCTGTGGTGTGCAGTAGATCTTTTATATAAGGACTATATTTATATATCTGCTTTTAGTTGCATTACTTTGCATTTCTGGTCTCTCAGTAAGGCACTTGTTTCCAAATCAAAATATAGTTCACAGTTAACTCAAACAGTTTTAAGAATCTCAAAACAACTGAAGAGCAATATAAAGCAGAAGGGAAATAGGCTGATTATTCTGTTTCCTGCTGAGTGGTGGTAGGGTTTTGTTTAAGTCAGTGGGAATCAACTCTGAAAAAACTGTTGCATTTGAAAAAGATATAATTAGAATATTTGAGGTAAAGCTACACTTCCCTTGATAGACCAAGTCACCACAGAACAGAGTTATGGTTAATAGTTTGAGGTTTTGTAAAGTAACCTGCTTTTATTGCTTCATTTTAGTGTAAAAATTATTTTTATCTCTAGTCACAATTGAATATAGTGGTTTCTAAAAGGCAGACTGATGAAATGCTTCTGCATCTCTTACAAGCATTTACAAGCAATAAAATGTGACTCCCATTCTGCTGTTAGTATTCTAATGATTATTGCCAGTGATATTTAGTAACTCACGTGTGACGATACCTGTTACAGCGGTGCAGTGAAGGATTTATCAACAGTAGGGTACCAGATGTTTCTAACTTTTTAACATGATAACGTTCACAAGCAGCGGGACTTCTCTGGGAGCTACTTCCTCACTGTGTGGTGCCTTAAAAGAAAAAAGTGCACAATTGTTATTGTACAGTTTCTTTGCAATAAGAAAAGAGATCTGCTTGGTTTCCCATCTTAGATACTGTATCTACAATATTTATATAATGTGTAAATAACATACAAGTATAAGTTCTTCAATAATCATTTAACTAGATGTAAGCTACCTGTCTTACTTGGTATCTTGTTCTAAGGTTTATAAACGAGTTTGCTTCTCTTCACAGACCTCTGCATGTTGCTGCTCGGAACGGACTAACGGTTGTAGTTCAAGAGCTTTTAGGGAAAGGAGCAAGTGTACTTGCTGTAGATGAAAATGGTAAGAAAAATTTAATTTTGTTTCCCCACAAGGAACTGTGATTTTAGACTCAGCTCACTGAAAAGCAATAACCCTTCAGAAATTTCATATGAGCCTTGCAGTAGGTTCCCCCATAATAAAAAATGTGTTGGTGATGGGTCATTGTAGCAAAGTGACAGCAGTGTAGGGAGAGTGAAGGCTTGCAGAACAATGCAGGTCACGGCATATAAGTGTGTTTGCATTTGTAGATTTAGAACATGTACCCTATAAATACACCAGCTTTGGCATACTGAAAACAGTCAGAAAAACATAATGCTTAAAGTAAAATATAACTTTCAGCTGTTAAGAAGCTGGATTGGATTCATTTTGTCACTGTATGTATATTGGTGTTAGCTTTTAAAAGCAAGTATAAATTACAGATCCCAGTTACTGGTCTCAAGCTTCTGGCTCTTTAGAGTTTTTTGGCACAGATAGGTAAGAAAAACTAACTGCTTTGTCATAGTGAATAAATCCCATACCTTGTTAAAAAACAAAAGAAAATTAGATCTACTGACTTCTCATTTGCATATTTTCATACAAGACATCTGCAGTCCTCCAAAGCTATGCTTTTAAAAGCATAAGAGCTCCTGCTTTTATGCCATACCCCAACGTGTCTTAAATGAGAGCAGTAGCTGGGGGTAGGGGGGTTGTCTCCTCCCTTTCCCTCTCCCTCCCTTCTCCCATCCCAAAGGGATGTGCCTAATTAATAGTTCTAATTATATTTCCAGCTTGGAAAGTTTTTTCCCTCTTAATGTTTGTGTGACTTCCTCTGGGTGTTTCTCAAATTACACTCCTTGAAATGACGTGGGTGATTTAAAGATCATTCCTTGCCTAAAATAGGGGACAGGGGTCACTACTAAATGAAGCTCCCTAAAATGGGAGAATATATCTTTTCGATTTCTGTTCCTGATCACAAGTATGCTAACTGGAGATGTTTGTGTTTTTGTGGGCTTTTCATGTGCCAGTCCCTTGGCAGGGTGGATCTTTGACCGCAGAGAGGAAAACGTTGTTTGTATAGAAGCGGCGGTTCTCTGCCAGCCTGGGGATCTAACTGCAGCATGTTAGAACTTCTTTTTCATTCTGTTCATATTTTAAATTTTAAAGTAGCTCTGAGTGCTACCTAATCTCATTCCTCACTGTGATTCTTTTCTTTCTAATAGCAATTGCTTTGTTTATAAAATTTTAAGCAGCCTTGAGAATTCTCATCATGAATTCTTTTTCTGCTGGATGAATGCACCAGCTGAAAGTGCAGCATGTGCAGAGTGATGAACCCTTTGAGTTGGGAGAGAGCGAGGGAGACTTTTGTGGGATTTATCAATCTATTTCACCTGTCACTGTAATTTTTTCTTAATTCTTACAAGTATTAGTATGTCAGCAGCCTTGCTAAACCTGTTGCAAAAGTCGTCTTGATTTCCATAGTGTACCTTTTATGTTAAATGGAAAAGCTGGCAGTAGTGACAGCCAGGTTCTGCTTTAGGTCTGCTTGTCATCGATTTTAGCATCTACTGCTGGAGCAGAAGTGTTTCTAAAGGCAATAAAAAATTACTTACATTTATTTCATTCTAATAAAGTAAAAACATAGGAGAAATTTCAATTCTTTTTTATTAGAAAGGCTTAAAAGAGTATAATTCTTGCATTTTGGGGGGTGAAAGCTTAGTGTTTAGCAAAGCAGACTGAAAAATTAGGCACTAGAGTATTTTGCATCACAACACTGACATTCTCTTGCTTTTTAGCATTGTCAGGTAAGTTCAGTGATAAGTTCAGATCAGTCAGATAAGATCTGCCGCACAAGCTTAGCATTTCAGATAGAATTAGATGAATTTGGAGGTGAAGTTTTGGTTTTGTTTTATGTGGAAGCATGTCTTGATGTATGGAACACGTAACTGGCAGAACCTCTGCTGGGATAGAGAGGTGATCCATTTTGTGTCTTTTAAGTTGTCCCTTTCTGTAAAGGCTGCACTGACTTCTTTTGCAAGCAGTCCCTATTGCTATCCATATCTGTATAAAACTACTTAATAGTTCTCTCTGCTATATCTGGGCTACAGAAAATTATTGAAAAACTCGAGCTTTGGCTCTTAAAAGAGTAAATGCAACTGAAACAGCAAATGAACTGTCTGGTTCCTTCCCAAATGGAGTCTTGTTGAGGGTTCTTTCTCAGTTCTGTATCAGTTCTCAGATCTTTCAGTTCATTTCCCATATTTCCACACCTGTTGTGATGAAATTTCGCCATCACCTGCATCTACAAAAATTCTGTTGAATTTGACATTAGTTATACAGGTTTACCCATCTTAAAAGAAATTACTAGCTTCTTCTTTCATTTGACACTATTTTTGGTCACTCAACCAGATTGTCAGACTTGTTTTGTCTGGGGTTTTTTCCTCACCATTTCACTTCCTAGGGTAGCTAAATTTCCTGGTACAGTCTTTCATGTGTCGTATTAATGTGCACCACATTAGTCAGAAGAGGCATTCCCTAACTCTGGAGACTGACATAGCATGGAGGTTCCGCTTTTTTTCTAGATTCATCATTACAGTGATCATTGGCCTTTCAAGGCCAAGTATTTAATTTTTTTTTAAATAGGATATTTATTTTTTTTGGTCTTGCTCTTTTCCAAGCCTTCCATTACTCGTATTCTAGTTTAAATTGGAGATCTCTAGTTTTCTGGAAGGAATTTTTCTTGTAAACGCTTACGAGATGACTCATGCCTCAGATGACTTTCTTCTCTTTCCCAAGTGTAAGACTTCATTCAGTTTATCTTGAGAACTGTCTTTGCAGTGACCACATTAATAAGCCTCTGGTTTTCCTGTAGGCGCCTTCGTGGAGGCTTTGAAGCCCCAGGGGAGGGAGCAGCTCTGCGTTTGGCGGGGGGAGCCCTGGTCTGAAGTCAGTGTCTGTCGTGCAGGCTCCCTTTTCTGTCGTGCGAGGAAGCTGCTTCATCTCACTCTGCCTCTATTGCCCCATCTCTCAAATGAAGAGAGAATTATTTTTGTTGTTGTTGTGTGAAGGCTTACACAGATATAAGTACAGATTATGGGGAATGTTATACAAGAACTGAGTATTTCAGTGGAGTTGGCACATTTACCAACATCTTCAAAGAAAATCTGTAGCATTATCTGTAGTTTATATTACTTTATGTTGTAATAAACTATAGGTTGGTTGAAATTGTATAGTCTGCCTTTTCAGATGCTTTAGCCAGACCGTTACTGAGATAGGACAGTCTAATTTAAATAACTGCCTGTGATGAACAGCTGTATGGAATCTTCTGGATGGAGCAGCTGGATGCTGAGCTACAGTTTTGCAGTGGCTCTTTAGTGAATGCCTTCTCCCATCACTGTTGGCTGCCATTAGTTGTCTCTCCTTGGCTGGTGACTTCCTCAGTGTTTTCAAATCCTGGCTTTTCTTGCTGGCTCAGAGCATCTGACTGTGTGTAACAACACAATGACATCTCTGTTCCAAAGCCCGCTGACTTCTGGTTTGATTTTGTAACTGAAAGTTTAAAAAATTCTAAACGATAATGCATTTAATTTAATGTTTGGGGTTTTCTTTAACAGTGCAGAACTAAGTGATATAAAATACTTCTGCAGCTGAAAGATGACGTGGTCTTGGAGAAATTTTTACATTGTCTTTGTTTTAAATGAAGGTTTTGTTTTTTCTTTTCTCTGTAGGTTACACACCAGCTTTGGCCTGTGCGCCCAACAAGGACGTGGCTGATTGCCTGGCTCTCATCCTGGCCACGATGATGCCTGTTTCGTCGAGCAGCACGTTACCTTCCCTTACGTTCAATGCCATTAATCATTACACCAACACCTCAAAAACTGTCACCTTCGATTCCTTGCCAATCATGAGGAGTGACCATAGCTCCTACTGTACTTTCAACAACATTGGCAGGGAAGGTGGGTACCCATATACAGAAGAAGATGAACTCAATGACTCAGATTCTGAGACCTATTAGAAGCTACGTTTTGTGGGTCTGAAGAGAGAACCCTCGCGCTGGAAGGTCAGACTCGTGCTTTTGAAAAAAAGCTGCTGGTGTTTGAATACAAAAAGAGGACAGACCTTTGAGAAGATGTTTTTTATTGTGGTTGCATATTAAAAAAAAAAAATCTGTGAGACTCTAGGAGAATTTTTAAGAGCATATTTTGCAGAAGAAGCATAAATTCTTGAATAAGTACTTGGAATCCATGGCAAAAAAGAAAAAAAGAATGTCAAAACTGTTTTATTTAACTGTATTCTACCATTCTGTTTCTGGTGCCAGGGGTAATTTCTGCAGACTGGGCACCCTACTTGATGTAAATGAGCGACGCTATTGTACAACACAAAGGATACTAGATTTAAATATTATCAATAAAACTAAAACCATTTTGAAGGCAATAAATGAGTTTGGTACAGTAGGCATTGTTTGTGCTGCAAATTGCCAAAGGACCAAATAACTTAAAGATTTTTTTTTTTTTTTAATTAAATACGTTTTTGTGAAAACTGGAATAGGTTATTTGAGAAGTTGTTTCAACCAAACCTTAATTACTTCTGGAAAAGAAGCTTAGATTTGGTTTTAAATGTTGATTTTTATTTTTTTTAATCATCCAAAAGCCTTCCGACACTATTAAATGTACCATGAAAGAAAGCAGATGTACCTTTAAGTTTTGTTTTCTTTTTCTTTTAGGTGAAATGAAAATGAACTTGTCATACTTTTATAATACTAAAATTAAACCAGCTAACGAGGTGAAGTCAGGGTGAAAAATGTACAGTGTAATAAACAAGGGAAGGGGTGGGAGATGTGGGGGGGAAGCAGTAATTGTTGCACAGGTTTAGATTATTTTTTTGTTTTAACTTTTGGGTTTGGGATTGAGATTTTTTTTTTAATTTAAAAACGCAGGAGAAATTATGAAACTGCATAAAAAAATTGAAATGAAAAATCTTGATAACCCTGTTGTGACTGAGAGTTCTTTTCAGTAATTTGTCCACTTCCTCACGTCATAAATTTGTATGTAAGATTAAAATTGTATATCCCTATCACTTTTTTTTTTTTTTTTTTTTTATTCCCGGAGTTTAAAGGGGGGGGGGGTGTATGTAAGATTAAAATTGTATATCCCTATCATTTTTTTTTTTTTTTTGAATCCTGGAGTTACAAGGGGGGGGAGGTCAATTTAAAAGTATATTTCCCTATTAGAGAAAACAGTACAGTGTCTGGTCTGTGGGAAGAGCTGTGTATCTTTGTTGTGCTCCATTTAGAAAATAAACAGCAGAAACAGGTCCCTGTAATGTAGTTCAGACTTGCCCGAATTCTTATTTTTATTTAATTTATAACAGACTACTGTGGTTTTTCTAATTGCCTGAAGAATGAAAAACTGACATAAGCTGAAGTTTTGTCTGTTAAATATGAATATTTACTTCATTTGGCTCTGCTCTAACTATAACTGTTACTTTACAAGTGAATTTGTTTATGTACATGCAAGGAATCCTTGCGTGTCCTGGTAAAGTACAAATAAATTACTACAAACTGATTCCAATTTCCTTTTTATCCTTTTTGTATTGTGAAACTGGAAATCTTTATGATATTGTAAATTATCAGCTGGTTTTCTGAACATAGTGTGGAAACACGGGACAATATTTTGATCTATTTGATAATTTTGTGGGGTTTTTGAAGAATTAATGAGCATGTACATAGAAATAGTGACTGCTTGAATACTGTATTTACCTGCACTCTTTCAGTACTTCAAGATTCCTGTATATTTTACAGAGTATAATAAAACCCAAATGTGAGTTCTACTAATGAATAATTTATTTGTATCTACTAAGCATTAATGACAAAGTATCTTTTGTTGAACTGTTGGAATTTATAAAATCTGCTTCTCAAAGGCTTTGCCAGCATTTTAATTCTAAAGCGAAGAATGAAGGGGAGCTATTTAAATTTAAATTCATTTTAAATGTTAAATGACTTCATTATTTCTTTAGGCTTCCTTTTAAGTATTACTTCCTTAACCATTCGTGCCTGCCTTCACTGTTCATACGTGCAACGTGTTTGTCTGTGAGCAGAGTTAGGTGACTTCAGGGAGATGGTGACTTCTGTATTTTCTTCCACGTGACTCTCTGGAGCGTGGGGCTGTGTGGGAGGGATGCAGGTGCCTCGGCTGAGCATCCAGGCACCGCTCAAAACATCCCCATCGGCCTCTCTCCAGATTCACTGCATCTATTTAAATACAAAGGTTGAACCAGAGCAGACCCATTTTTCCTCCTACGCCTGTGGAAGATCTGGATCAGAATGCAAGTAGCATGCCTGTTATTTGAGAGGTAACAATTGCATGTTTCTGTTAATGAGACTGATTTTTGCTGCTTCAAATCAACTGTGAGAAGATGACATTAATAGGCCTTTGTTATCTGTGCTAACTTCTGTTTGTCTTCAGGGTGGCCTGTTACCTCAGAGTGGGGTGTCTGTAGCCATAGGGCAGTTTAGAGGAGGGGACACTCCTGTCTTATTTGAAAAATTAAGTTCATGTCCACGGTGTGCCTGGATGGTGCAGGAGAAAACGCTCAGAAGGTGTTGGTTGAAAAAGTTAAAGATTTGGATAAGGAATAGAGGCAAATGCAGAAAGCAGTGCCTTCGTTTCCTTCTGTCAGTCAGACATCGTGCCTCTCTCCCATTTCATCACTACTCACCTCTTGAGGAAGAAAACTTTTTCGCTGCATTAAATTGGATTCATTATTTCTAAGTTTTGTGTACTTTGTGTTTTGTGAACTTTTCAGAGATAAATATCTGTCTTTTTTTATTACAAATTGTTAATTCCATTTAGAAATACAGTTAATGATTTATGCATCTCATCTAGCTCCTCATTAGAATTTATTCAGTGAGCCTGTAGATTGCAATTGCCTGTATTTGGTTGTTCCCATTAAAAAAAAAGCAACCAAAAAACTCCATTACTACCTGGCAGTATGAGTAGGATGGTAATTGTGCCTTGTTAAGTGATAATTGGGACTATTAGAATATAGTCTTATTCCAAAACAGGAGTATGATTTGTTCAAAGAACATGCTACTGTGGTCAGAGACTACTTTCTTAATGAGAGATCAAGGAACAGAAGGTTCCTTGTTTCTGTAAAACAAATAAAGGCTGTTTGTGGCCGGTGGGATTTTTTTTTAATTTAAAAAACAAACAAACAAAAAGTGTTCATACGTCTGTGGGGGCCTGTTCATCTCCAGAAAATGATACTGGAATCTCCATCTTTCTAAAAGAAATCCTCCTCTTTTTGTACAGATGGGTAGGGCAGGGTTATTGTTACAGCCTTCATCTGCTGGATTCTCACCAGGAGGGAGCAGTGAGCCTTGGCTGGACTACTGAAGCAGTGTGTCAGAATAAAAGAAGCTCTTTTTATACTGGATGAAAAAAAAAATGGACTACGGGAGTGAGGACAACCAGCTCTGCTCAGCTTTCTGTGTACTCTGACTTCTGGGATGTTTTATGGGTTTTCAAGTTCTCAAGACAAATACTCTGCAGAAGGAAATGCCAAGTTAGTACTAACATCCTAGGCTGAGCTGTTACTGCAGAGTGTAGTGTGGTAGCATAAATGCTGGATGCTGTTAACATGAAGGATCAGTCTCTTTTCCTCACCCCCCAAGAGTCACCCTACTGTGATCAAAAAGGTTTTTCTTGCAATTTTTTACAAAATATTGACCTCTCCTTTGTATTTCCTCCTGTTACTCCATTGCTTCCCCACGCTTAAATAATTCCAAAGTAATCATATAAATATACTCAGAACAACCAGATGTAGAAATTTGCGCTGTGGTTGTGGTTGGTTGTTGTGGGTTGTTTTTTTCTGGTATATTGTTTAAATTTCTGACTTCTCTGGCAGAGCTAAAGAATTAATAAATGTTTGGTTTAAAAAAAGATAATATTTAAAAATTAATTACTTCAAAGTTTTGCTCCTTTTAACATCTGCACAAAGGGCACTGAAGCTGTTACCTAAGCTATGTGGAAGATGCCTAAAAAGGAGCATGAGAGAATGTTTACAGATTCCTCAACTCAATAATTCTGGCTTTGAGAGGAATTAGCCTTCCTGTCTTGCCCAGAGACTATGTCCATTTAAAGGCAACAACTACTGTAGTAGTGCAGAATGACATATTCGAATTTACAAAAAAATGGAGAACGTTCATTAAATCCAGTTTGAGGTAACAGCAGTGTTGTTCTGGCAGCTCAGATTCCTTTTTGGAAAAAAAAAAAAGGAGCTTGTGGTGACCTTTCTGTTAATCATGCAATAAGTGGGTGAGAGGCTAAGCCCGTGGAAGGGTTGTGAGCAAGTGTGAACGCTGTACAAAGGACTGTTGTCCAGCATAAACTTGTGAGGAGGTTTTTCATGTGCATCATCACGGAACACGTTTAACAGTGCTAGAAGTGTCCAGGGAGGCCACGCTACTTAATTCCATGTTTGGATCAGTGAGGTTCACATCTTAAAAACTGAAACCTAAATAAAAAGGGTAAGTGTTTATGGAAACAGCTGTTCTGGAGAACTGGAGCTCTTTGGCTCAGTGTCTCACAGGGTGGGTGAGGGAGCTCCTGGGCCTCCCCGGCTGCTGCTGTTGGAACAGCGGGAGGAGCTGGAGGGTGAGAACCCTCCTCACCTCCCACCGCTTTGCTCTGTGGCTCTGCCACTGCTACATACCCACTTCCCAAAAGAAATACCACCGTGCTTTTGGTTAAAAAGCACTGATTCCTGATAACAATACTTCCTGATAATCTAGTCCTGGTTGGATCAGACTAACAACATCGGAGAGAAGGAACTTTATAATCTGTTACTAAATAGTTTAAACACTTACCACCACTTCCATAGGTCTAGACTTAAACTCAGCAAAATCCATTTTATTATCAGGAAAAAGTAAGTATTTAAGTTCTTGAAGTTGGTCCATCAAATTCACATAAATTTTTAAATCCAAGATTTGCCTCTTGTAGTAATCTGTCAATGATTTGTGATGACTTGCTTATAATCCTTTCACACGCTGCAGAAGCTGATGGGACAGTTGGAGAATTCTTTCAGATTAGGATTAAAACCCTTTTTTAGTAAGTCTGTAGCTGTGACTCTAAATTGGATACATAAAAATTTATAATACATGGGTCTCCTGCAATGTTAAATGTGAAGACACACAACACAGGCCTCTCTGTTAGCTGACAGTGCTGTTTTTTTTCTTTTTCTGGAAATCTTTTTCTCACTATAAT